TTTAAAAGAAACAGGGCGTGAGGATAGAGGCCACTGGCGGGCTCTTGTGGGCAGAGCAATGAACTATCGGGTTACATGATAAGTGGGAAAATTCTAAGACGGATTAAGAGACCACCAGCCCCTCAGTAAGGGTTGCGTTCCTTGGTTTTAGTCTGCAAATTTATTTTATTTTTTAATTCGCGTGGCCCAGTGATTCCGGATGAAACCCAGTCTTCAGCGGGAGGGAACTGTTATTATGTCATCCTGAAGCATCAGTACTTCAGCTCCTGGGCAGTAGAAAAGGATTCGACAATGGAATTCTCCAAAGCCCTTTATCCCGCCACCCGTGCTTATACAGGGTGCCCCAAAAATATGTCCACACAGCAGCAACTTTGGTGGTCGTTTGTCAGTCAGTTGTGCCACGAAGCCAAACGGTGGCCATTTTGAATACCTACACTAGATTCACAAATTCACTAAGCGTCGATGCTGACGTACGTAATGGTTTAGTTTATTAAAGTGTCTTTATTTTACATCTTTGTGGGACAGCCTGTATGTGCAAGATGTTTTGATGCTGGTAGACTGAGACCTATAACCGATCTGTGCTCAGTTCTGGTGGCTGAGGGAAGGAGCCAATGGAAGGGAGATGAAGTTTCCAACTGAAGTTGAAGAACTGTAAATATCAGTGCCGAATGTTGCTACAAAGTTCAGTGTGCGCAGATGCTGATGCGTCATTGACCCTCGTTTTGTGGCGTTTCCGGTGGCATTATACCCACATTACGGTGGGCAGACGCCCCTAATGGGAAGCCGACAGTAACGACGCTGGATCTATTTATTTATGGTTTAATTATCGACGCTGGCAACGTATAATATACAGCGTCGAATGATTGAGTGATTAATGAATCGGAAAAAGACCTGGAAGGAGCAGGTCGTATTTAACGTATCGTAGCATCCTGGGGTCTCGGGTTCGATTCCCGGCGGTGCCCGAATTTATAACTTGTGTTGGGCAAGGCCGTGGTCTAGGCAACACGGAGTTTTCCTCCGTGGCATCCCAACAATTACTCCAATCACACACAGAAGAAGGCAATGGCAAACCACTTCTGGATCATCTGCCAAGAACGTATATGAACAGGTCCCAGTCCGAGAAAAGGATGGAAGGATCCTGTTCATATGGACCTGTCGTCAGACAGAACACTAAAGAAAATAATAAATAAATAGCATTCGCCCGGAGGAACTGAGGACAACAACGAAAAACTAAGAAATGCTTGTCTCGGGGCTGAGATTTGAGCCGGAGACCCGAACACGAAGCAGGAATTGTATCCACTCGGTCGGGAAGTTCCGTGGGTGGACCTTTGGACCGTATAAAACAGCCGAAATTGCTGATTGGATTCAGCTGACCTAGTGAAGGGCTCTTGCTACACAGACTGTAATGAACCTTCCTTCGATCGCCTTGGCGTTTATTTCTTGTTCCGCTGGCCTCCCTGCACAACCGTGATGGCAGTGGAGTACTTCCGGTCGGTAATATAGATTTTTATCGTACCGGCAACCTTTCCGAACAAGGTATGTCGCGTGTACACAAACAAGGGTTGTTGGCGTGGGGTGGGGGTGGCGACGCTGTAAAGCGCCCTGCCGCCTGGTACGGAGCGTGGGAACCCCGGTTCATCCCCTGGAGCGTGTCCCGACAATATGTTCACAGAATCCCACACGTGACCGCATTCACACGCGAGGAGCTCTGTTGTTATGGTAACGCAGTGTCCACATTTTGGGAGCCTCAGAATGCATGGGGATCCTCACGTGTCACACGAACCCTTTCTTAAGGGCACACTCCCCGACCAACAACCCTAAAGCTGTTACCATGAGAGCAGCTGCTGGTTGCTTTGTTTATGAGGTACGTAGTTGACTTCCGATTGAAGCGTTGCATTTTGGCATCGTTCTTTGAAACATCCGCACAAACGTCTAATCTACGGGCTGGTATCTGTACACCCCTATCTTTAATTGCTGTACGCATTTAACACGCGTCCTACATATCTCGCTGATAAAATACTCGGTGATGTGATCACGCATATTATGAAGTGCAAATTTCTCTGGTCTTGTAAGACTGTTAAGTTAATTGATAAACTGTTGTGACTCTGCT